TTTTCCTCCATCCCTTCCCGTTCCCTCCCTCACCCTCCTCTCCCCTCCTCTCCTCTTTCCCTCAACAAAACCATCTTCGCTCGCCCTTTCCCCCACCTCCCTCAACCCATCCCTTCCCTCTCCCTCTCTCCCCCTTCCCTCCCTCCCTCTCTCCCCCTTCCCTTCCCTCCCTCCCCCCTCCCCTCCCCTCCCCTTCCCTTCCTTCCCTCCCCCCTTCCCCCTTCCCTCAACCCCTCTCTTTCTCTCCGCCTCCCCCCCCCCCCACGCCTGATCACCCCCAAAGTTCAGTAGACGAAAGTGCCAAGTCCATATATAGCGCAGGCATCCCTTACCCCTCCCACGGTGCCCTCTCCGGGGTGCCATCGGGGCCTTGGCACCCGCGGCCCCTCTCTCTCTCTCCCTTCCCTCTCCCGGCGTCGCGATCCCTTCTTAGAGCTTGATTTTTATTGATAAAGCGGGAAAAAGAGGACGATAGATATAGTAGATAGGGAATTAGAGGGATATATATATATATATATATATATATATATATATATAATATATATATATATATATGTGTGTGTGTGTGTGTGTGTGTGTGTGGTGTTTGTGTGTGTGTGTGTGTGTGTTGTTGTGTGTGTTGTGTGTGTGTGTGTGTGTGTGTGTGTGTGTGCGTGTGTGTGTGTGTGTGCGTGTGTGTGCGTGTTTGTGCGTATGTAGATAAACAGATTGTAGACAGAAAGAAAGAGCGAAAAGAGGGGGAAAGAGCCGAGATAGATAGAGATAGAGAGAAAAGGAGAAAGGACAGAGACAGATACAGAGATAACCAGACAGACAGAGAAGCAGACAAACAACAAAAAAAGAAAAAAAAAGAGAACAAACAAAAGACACACCTTCAAAAAAAAAAAAAAAGGTAAAAGGTACGCTCTCGGTACACTCAAAACCTGTAGTGTAACGCATTTGGCAGCCGCCCTCACGCACCGAAAGCACGTGGCACTCACTCACTAGTCCTACCAGTCCTGGCACTTGGCGAGAACAGGGTCTGAAAGCACATGTGTCCTCCAGGCGAGAGTGACCACGGGGGGGGAGGGGGGGGGGGCAGGGGGTTAGGTCGAATATCTACTTCCTGTTGACTTTAGAATTTGAAAAAAAAGTGGAAATGAGAAGATTAGAAGAGGAGAGTAGAAGGAAAAGGGAAAGAGGAGGGGACGAGGAGAAAGGAAGGAGGAGGGGAGGGAAGGAAGGAGGAGGTGGAAGAAGAAAGAAGAAGAGAAGAAGAAGGGAAGGAAGAGAGAGAAGGAAGAAGAAGAAGAAGAAGAAGAAAAGAAAAGAAAGAAGAAGAAGAAGAAGAAGAAGAAGAAAAAGAAAAGAAGAAAGAAAGAAGAAAAAAAAAGAAGAAAAAGAAAAGAGAAAGAGAGAAGAAAAAGAGAAGAAGAAGAAGAAGCAAATATGCGTGAAAGATGAAGCGAGGGATAAGCTTTAGACGACGTTAGTGTGGAATTTCCCTTCGTAAAGTGCGCTATGCAAATGTCCCTTCGCTCTGCCTCTCTCTCTCTCTCTCTCGCTTTGATCTTCTTTCGAAAGGTGAGGGGAAGACACGCCCTCATTTCCACAATGCCAGGAATCACTCACACGCACATATATGCATATATATATATAATTATATATAATATATATATATATATATATATATATATATATATATAATATTATATATATAATATACACACACACACACACACACACACACACACACACACACACACACACACACACACACACACACACACACACACACACATATATATATATATATATATATATGTATGTATATATGTACTTATGTGAGTGTGTGTATATGTGTTTGCATGTATGTGTACTTGTGTGTGCGGCTGTATGCATTCATGCGAAATATATACGATGATTGCAAAGTCGCAACTTGCAGGTCACCCTCTGCATGCATGAATTGCATTAAGTTTCTTGGCAAAATACAGATATATTCTATTATTTCTTCCTCCCATTTGCCCCTAAGGGAGGTTATTTATAATGTATCTTACCTGGTTTTTGTATGTTTGTATACATACGTATATATATATGCATACTTCCATCCATTCATCCATACGTACATACATACATAAATTCATACAAACATCATACATACATAAGTACAAAGAGGAGCATATACTATAAATATAATATATTATATATATATATATATATATATATATATATATATATATATATATATATATATATATATATATATGCGCGCGCACGCGTGTTTGTGTGTGTGTGTGTACGTTTTTGTGTGTGTTTCGATGTATGTGTCTGTCTGATTGTCAGTAAACGCACACGTGATATAACCCGTCTAATTTCTGCTTTCCTTTCAGGTAAGGATGTGTCAAAGTTGCCCCAGGCGGCGCTTGCAAGTCGCCACTATCTTCTAAGAGTTCGGTGACAAAGAAAGTTATTTTAAAAGTGTAAGTATTGTCTCAAACGCCGCCCGTGTCAAGTTCAGCGCGTGTGTATTTGTTTCTTTGTTTGTCTTACTTATTTGCTTGTCTGTTTACCTATTTGCTTGTTTGTTTGTCGCAGTGTGTTTGTATTGCCCGAATCCCAACTGAGAAAAAAAAATCCTTGGACTCAGGGACAAGGGAATCAGCTGTGATTACCTTGTCAAGAATATTTTTGAGAGTCGACAGGGACGCCTATAATTATTATCCATGGGTGACTGAACACTAGTTATTGTGTGTCCCTCCCTTACCCTCCCTCCCGCCTTCCCATCTCGCCTTTCCTTCTTAATTGTGTACGCATGTGTGTAAAAGTTTGTGTGCGTGTATTCGTGTGGTGTGTGTGTGTGTGTGTGTCCTGTGTGTATCTGTGTGTGTTGTAAAAGTTTGCGTGCGTTATTTGTGTATATGTGTGTAATGTCTGTGTGTTTGTGTGTGTGTGTGTAAAAGTTTGTATGGATTTAAGTGTGTGTGTATGTATGTGTATATTTGTGTAAGTGTACGTGTTTGTGTGCTGTATGTATGTATGGGTTATCAATCCTATAACATCACGTTGTAAGGAAACCCTCTAACGTACATCAGGAAGACGATCTTTTGAAATAGTTCTCCTTTTCCTCGAGTCGTCGGCCTAGCGCAAGTTGATTAGCATTTTAATCATCCCTGAACGTGATTCCTTCTTAAGTACATTCGAATCAGAGCACAAAAATGTTATACACATCCGTCTCAGAATAATTATCATGCAAAAGTAAAAACCTGAATTCATTTAACAGTTCAGTACTCAAAAACACAACCGAGTCGTCATGGCAACGGGTGTTC